ATGCAAGCATTAGTTTTTTTTGTGGCTACCAACTTAGAAACTGTAAGAATAAATTATAATATTGTTAGCCAGTTGAAGTAGTAAATGGTCCATAAGGTGGTCCTCTTGGTGATATGAGTAAACTTTAAAAATCACTTGATTAAATGACAAAAAATGAATATTTTTTGGATAGCATAACAGGAGATCTCTATGGAATCTACTTTGATAAAATTGAATCAGCAAATTGTTGGATTCCAATAGCAAATTGTGGAATACATTCTAGAAGAGCTGTTGAAGAATTTAATACAGTTGGAAAGTATATGTTACAAGCTCCAGTTTATAAACCTTAAAAAATAAAAGAAATTTATGGACTTTATACATCTACATAGGATGAAGAAATATGCTTGATAAAAAAGAACTTTGTTTAACATTACTTATTTAAAGATATTATGTAAGAGTTCTTAGTTCATTCTAAACATGCATGGGATATACATTCATTTAATGTATTAAATCCAAAAAAAACATTTGTTATTTTAGCAGATTCATCAAAAGGACCTTAAGTTATAACAGTAAATGAAAATATTGTTGGTTTATAATTTGATATTAATCCAAAATATCCAGAAACATAATTAATTCTAAGAAACTTCATTATTCATTATTTGATTTAAATACGATCATGCATAAATATGCCATAAACTATCTAATAAGCTAATAATGATTTAAGAAAAAATAAATTAGATTTAGAGAATATGACTAAATAATAAGCAGAAAGTTAATAAAAGGGTGAAAGAACAGCTTTTAATTTTGAAGTGTTGACTAAATTTAAGCATGTAGGATTTACAGGTAAAAAAGCAAAGAAATTGGAGATTGTTATGAATAATGCAATAAATGATTAAGGACAATTGTAAGAGGCTATGAAAACTATGAGATAGAAGTAGTCTCCAAGAACTAAATAATCAACAGAAGAGACTGATCTAGAGAAATCTAAGTTTGCTAAGTTTTCAACTAAATTAAATCATGAACATAGGGATACTACTGAGAAGTTCAATAAAACAGCTGCTGAAATTAGATAAATGTTGCATCCAAATATAGATGAATAATTATTACCTGAGAATGAACCTTTGTGGGTATATTTATTATTTAATATTTTATAGGTTCCTGGAACAATGAACACTTCTATGTTAGCTAGTTCTGGGCAAAGAATTAGATAAAGACCTTAATCTACAACTTAAAGTCGTACATTTAAATTAACTAGAGTTCAAACTGCAAAATCTAGAGTATCAAAAGGTACTAATAAAGAGGATTATGATTTATGCAGGGAACATCCAATTGTTAGATGCTCATCTCCATATATTACTAATGTAGAAAGAGATAGATTGGATCAGAAATAAAAAGATAAATAAATAATTGGTCCTAGAAGCATTAGGACAAGTGTTATAAGCACAATTAAAGGTGGGACTCCCTTTATTTTGTATGATAATCCATATAGCAATCCAGCAGATTTTAAACATAGGGATGAAAATAAGACTAAATGGGTTGGTGGCCAGAATTTTAGAGTTTGTTGATTTATAACTATAATAATATAATGGATTAAGAAAAAAGTCTTATTGATTTGAAATAGGCATTGTCTTATCGAAATAGAAGCAAAGAAATTACAGATATAATTGCAAAGGGAGTTCAAGATCTTAAATTCTTCAAAGAAAAATAGTAGTTATTTGATCCAGCATTATATTGTTAGATGCTTAAAAAAATCTAACTGAAGGAATTCAAAAAAGGAGAAGTAGTATTTCATTATGGTAACATTATTTTGAATGGTAGGTTCTAATAATGTTGAATAGTTTTATGTAATTCTATAGGGATAAGTTGCAATATTATGTCCAAATGATAAAAACATTACACATCAATAAGTTATTGAAGAGTATTAAAAAGGAATAGATTCTAATCCATCATAAATAAGAAGATCATCAGCAATTTACAGTCCTAGATTGTCTGCCTTTAATAATAGAGCTCTTAAAGATATCATTATGGCATAGGCTTATGGTGATTTTTTAGGAATCAGTAATTATTCAATTATATAGTTGATTTTTTTAGATATTCAAAAAGTCGATTAAGAATCTTTAATTGAAGAATATACTAATAATCCAAATCAAATATCAGTTGATAAATGGTTAGATAATTTGGTGAAAAGATTATTTCCAAGTTTGCATATTGTAAATATGTGTTGTACAGGAGACTAATTTGGAGAAATAGCTCTTATAGGTAAAGTGACTAGAACAGCAACTGTGTTATGTACTTAGGATACAGCAATGATTACTTTAGCCAATCCAGACTTTCAAGCAATTTTATAATAATATCATGATCAGGTTAAAAATGAAAAGATTTCTTTACTCAGAAATTTTGAACTATTTAGTAAATTAACTGATAAAAGATTAAGAGGTATTCTAGAAAATATTATTGTTTAAAAACCTTCAATGTTTAGTATAATTTATATGGAAAATTCAATACCAGAATATATCTATTTTATTAAATAAGGAGAAATTGAATTACTTAAAGTATTTCCTAAGAACAAAACAGTTTCAATTACTTTACTTTAAGTAGGCTGCGTCTTTGGACATGAAGAAGTGTAGTAATCCATTTTAAGAGAATACAGAGCTATTTCAAAATCCTCTCAGTGTGAATTATATTTATTACCTGTTGAAACTATATAATAATTTGAGAAAAAAAACTCGTAATCTTTAGAAAAAAAATTCCATCACGAAAGACTACAAAGGTTATTGAGTGATAAAAAATCATAGAAAAATAGTTCAAAAATCACATAAAATTCAATTGAATAGTATAAAACAGTATTTGAAAAAGATTATTCGAACCTTTTTAGTCATGAATTACTTTAAAAAAAGTACAATATAAAAGTATTTTAGAATAATATCACCAAGACATAAAAAAATAATGACAGAGTTATTTACTCCTTTATTTGATATCGATAAGAAATGTTTCACTTCGAAAAAACAATTAACAGATAGGAAAACTATTAATACAACAACAACTAGATATAATAAAGAAAATTCAACAAGACAATTAAGTACGTAAACAACAATCAATATACACAGACATTTATTCAGTCCTAAAGTGAGTAAAAGACAACTAGACACCATTATGCCCTTCAAAAAAATTTTGTCATAAGATAAAATATATTATAAAAATATTATAAGTAGAGATTGATAAGTTTAGTTTCAATAATGGCATTCTTCAATTTACAAGTGATTGTGATCATCTATATTTAATTAATTTAGAATATTGCTCAAAGTAAAGTTTTTGTTTTCAATTGGTTTTTGAGTAAAGCACATGTCTTCATACAATTATTATTCATTCGTTTCAACTTCCTCTTCTATCATATCCTAATAATTAAAGTTATTTTCAATATGTTCCTTAACTTTATTCATGATATATCTTTTTTTTTTTAATTTTATTTATATAAAATAACATAATACTTTTAGCATTAGAAGATGTAGGAGATGATTTATTTGTACTGGTATTTAAAACTGAATGAGAATGTTTTATATAAAGTTGTGCTATCTTGATAAATAAATTAGCTTAATAAAGGAGAATTCAATTTTGAAAAAGTATTCAAATTATATATATTTATAAATTTAAATAAAATAATATATGAGCAAGAAAACTGAGAAAAAAAAATAGGAAAAAATTATTGAAGATAGAACATTTGGCTTAAAAAATAAGAACAAAAGCAAATAAGTTTAAAAGTAATACTATTATGTAAAATTTTTAGTTTTTGTAAAGGAGTAGCACAATAAGTGAAATATAGTGGAGTTTCTTTGTCAAAATTATAATCCGAAGAATATGAGAGAAAAAAAATTGAAAAGTAATTGGAAGAGGAAGAGAGACTTATGCAATCTCTATATAAAACAGTGGAAAAAGTAAAGGAAGAAGAATCAGAAGAGGAAGTTGATCCAAAATCAATATTATGTGAATATTACAAATAAGGTAGGTTGACATGATAAGGCTAGGTCTTTGTTAGAAGGGTAAGAAATGCATGTATTCTCATGATATGAGTTTGGAATAAAAAACTGCAATACTTGATTTATATACTGATTAGAGAGTATAATTAGGTGATGAATGGGACACATGTTAAAATTGGGATGAGAAGACTTTGAAGGATATTGTTGAGGCTAACGAGAAGACTTATAAAAGGTATATTTGTTATGGAATATTCAAGTTAAATTCCTTCAGCAAAAGTCTGCGATTATTTTCTAGACGCATTAGAGAAAGGTAAATACGGATGGAGATGGGTATGTCCTAATGGGATGACCTGCCACTATAAGCATTGCCTTCCTTAAGGGTATGTATTTAGAAAGAAGGAAGAGCCAAAATAAAGGTAAGAAGGTGATCTAGAAGAAGAAATAGATGAATAAATTTCTTAGTTATAGAAGGGAGGAACAAAAATTACAAAAGAAGTTTTCGAAAAATGGAAATAAGACAGAGCTGAAAGAAAAAAATTAGAAGCTGAAAAATAAAAATTAGAAGAATAGAAGAAAAAAGGTACAAAATTTTAAATGTAATTTTAGGTTAAAAATAAACAGGAGGTAATTCATAAATGACAGGAAGAGCTTTATTTGTTTTTGATCCTAGTTTATTTGTTGATGATGAAGAGGCAGAGAAAGAATATGAAAGAGAGGAAATAGTTGATGAAAATGATGAAGAAGATGAAGATTAAAATAAATAAAAATTATATGAAGGAGATGAAAACTAATAATAAGATGAAGAATTTGATTAATAATTTAAGTAGTAATAATAATGATAAAATGTTCATTATAATTTATTATTTATCTATTAAAGTTTAATTTAATTTAATTTTAAGTGAACAAAAACAAGTTCAAAGTACTTATTAAAAGTTAAGAAAAAGACCTATGTAAAATTTTAAATAAAAAATATTAAATTATAGATTGTATTAATGATAAGGTGTATTTAGTAGGGAATTAAGATAGATTTATGGGAAACAACACTGATCATGAAATATCTATACCTATAAATATTGATTCAATTTGGTTCTATTCTAAAAACTATAATTTTTATAGTTATATATTTAAAGCATCTTGTCTTGTTATAAAAAGACAATAAGGTACTTTCTAATCGGAATATGAAAAAAATGCCAAAAATAGAGAATTTGAAAAATAAAATAATTATTCGCATTATTTTATATTCTTAAAAGACATTAGTTAATGTATAAAATAATTTTGTTTTATTTAATATTATTGACGATGATTTTAGATTTAATAGACTATATTCATTATCAACAATTTTATTTCTTTTATAATAAACTTAAAATTGAGCAAAATGTTCTAAAGTGACAAAATTAGAATTTAGTGGTAGAATTAAATGTCACTTAAGTAAAAACTACATACTTAGTTACACCTTTTTTTCCATTATTTAACAAAGCTAATTTTTTCTAAATTGATTATTTCATATATACTTTTATTTATTTACTTTTTTAACAGGAGTACATGGATAATAAGATTAAAATATTTATAAAATAGAATTTGAATATGAATTTGGGGATGTAATTTTTTAAATTAAATGTTTTGATTTTGGTGTTTAATATATGGTTATGATGGTTATTATTATTTTTTTCATATAAAATTGAATATGAAATTATATATATAAAATATTAAAATAAATCAATGAAATAATACTGACCTTTGTATCATCTTTCATCGCAGATACTATCTTCCTTAACATCATTAATTGGTTAAGGTTGATTCTGATTTTAAGGATTACTAATGATAATATCACCAGCAGTGAGTTCATCATGAGTTACAAATGAATCATGCATTTGCTCTTATTGATCTAATTAAGGTTTTGTTTCAATTTATATTAATACTACATTATCAGGATGTTTATATGCAGGTTTTTAATTTACTTTTTTTTTTTGAACACATTATAAAAGAACTCTCCCAGTTTAAAATAAGATTGGAGACTTCCCATCTTCTGGTATAATAAGTAAATCTTCATCTTGTGCCAATACCAAAGTACCAAATTTGCTTTTACAATCCTAAACTCTTATTGTATAATCTGGATTCTCAACTGTGTGTTTACTAGTTGGTATTAATTTTAACATAGCATGAGATCGAGAAACGGAGATATCTCTTAATTTTATATCACAATCTGGAATTCTACCCTATATTTATTAGAAATCAATTTATTACAATTTTCAATTCCGTTTTTTCACCTATTTCAACAACATATATCATAGCTTCTTTAGATTTATCATCATTTGTGACTTTAAATGTTATATATGAGGACTTTGGCTTTGGTAATTTCAGAACTGAATAACTCTTATCTTAAAATGTATAAGTATTTCTAAATGTAAACTTACAAATTTCACAATCCAATCTTTTACAAAGATATTAAATAAAATGATCGCCTTATTTAATTTTCAATTATATTCCTATCCATTTTTATAAACATTCTAAATGTATATATTTTACAGATCCCTCACATTTACATGGACTTATCAATGGGTTTATTTCACTTGCCTTACTTGAAAAACATATTCTACAACTTGCAACATCATTAATTGTTTAAATATCATCTTCTTATTCATCTTAATATTAAGTTGCCTCATCACATGGAGTCATAAATGCATATTCCAATAAATGCATTCTTACTCTTCCTAACTTTATTATATCTCCAATTTTTAAATCCCAATGCTTTTTATATATATTAAAACTCTTACATCTATTGATTAAAACTAATTAATCTCTGATTTCAATACAGCCCACAATTTGTGATCCTGTTATTACGATATACTATTAATAAAAGCTTATTATTCATTTAATGTAATATTTGCTATTTCAATCGAGTTACGAGCCCATTCACTTTTTGTTAAAGCCACAAGTTCTTTATCTACTGTTGCTAATTGAGCTAAAATAATATATTCCAAATCAAATTACCTGAAAAATCAATTTCTATCTCCTTCACAGAATAAGAACTGGACTCGAAATCAAATAAGTTGTGTTAATTCTTTGGCCATATTATTGCCATTATGTGAACTCTAAATAAATTCTCATAATGCATACTTATATGGCATTAATGTTCTAACAATCTCATATCTTTTTTGCTTGGTCGATGTGCAAGCTCCCATTAAATAATTTATTTATTAATTATATTTATATAGTGTCTTTCTAAAATCTCACCTATTAATATCATCTAAATAATTGAAAGCTTCAATTAAACTTTTTATTTATCAATAACGTCATACTTTACAAACATATAATATTAGTTAGGTAAACATAATTAATAAATATCAATGTTCAATAATTGTTCTACAAATATTAACTTATTGCATTTAAAATTTTCTTCCATTCAATACACTTAAACTCTCTAACGACTTTAAATTCATCAACTCTATATATACAATTTTCAAAATTTTACAAAATTTATTTTCAATCATATACTTTTAAACTTCATATCTTTACCTATTTTTCTTATTAATAGTTCATGAATCATTTTTCAAACAAATTAAGTTTATTTGTCAAAGCATTTTTAATTTAAAAAAATTCCTATTTTCTTAAAATGTTTATATATTGTGATTTTTGTAAAACTTGAAATTTTCGTTATTTTTTAAGATTTTCTTAGTGATATAAAAAACAAACTTAAAAATAATAATCATTTCTGTTTTTTTATTTTTCAATTCAGTTTATAATTATAAACCTACAACAGGAATGTATTGGTTTTGACAGTTAAATTACAAATTGAATTTTAAATTATTTGATTTTAATATATATATTATTTAATATATATTGTATCTTTTATAAATTAATAAATTAAAAAATATAGTCTTCTTATAATCATATTGCATAGCAATTTATAAAGAGCATAAAAATTTTCATATTTTACAAATTTTATTAACTGATTTTTCATATTTGTATGATATTTTAGAAATTTTAGAATTATTATTAATTGAAAATTAGATAATCTTATCATCCTATTTGATATATTAATTCAATATTTAAAAGAAGATGGATTAAAGTAAATTTTGAGAGATTATCAAATATTTAAGAATTAATCTAAGAATAGAAAAATTATGTTATTAATATGATATTTTAATTTATATCATTTATCAATATTTGTTCCTTGAACAGGTGGTTTATCTTCTTTATTATTTTGATCTCCTTTCTTCCAATATTTTTCTAATTGTTATTCCATTTTATTTTTTCCTAGATAATAATGAATGATTACTTTAGATCTCCTTTGCGATCTTAAGAACTTCAGGATTTAATTAATTCTTTCTTCTACCTGTCTTAATGAATCTTTAATTATCTCTCTTTTCACCCTTTTTTAAATCTAATTAATTACATTTTAATTTTTTTATTTAAAACCCAGTCTTCTTCTTCGCTAAGTAAATTATGATTAAAATCCTTAATTATTTCCACCTCCTCTTTAAGTTTAATTTCTTCTTTATTAATTTTGATTTCTTTATCTATCAAAACCTTGATTTTGATTTTAATTTGACTATCTCCTAAATTTGTTATTTTTGAAATTTCTTTATTTATTATTAGGTTGAGAATCATTTCCTCTAGAATTTCTGAAATTTTAATTTCCTCCTCTAAAATCTCTTCCTCTTCTATTCCCTCCTCCTCTATTTCGCGACCCGCTAAATTATCTCATTAATAAATAATAAAAAATATTAAATACTATTCTAGATTTCAAAACCATTAAGTCATTAATAATAACTGATACCATTTAATCTAAAAGCATTCATTAAAAATTAATTTCTTGAATGTAAAATTATATTGTTATCATTAAATTGAATATATAGAGATAAAAAAAATAAATCATAAATAACTTAAAAATTATATAGGTATTTATAATGTTATATTCTTGTATGAATTAAAGTAACAATTATATAAGAAGAAGAATTATCGAATATTTAAATTTATTCATATAATTGTCTTGAAAATTCTTTTTTATTATTGTAAGAAATGTTTATAGTGTTAAAATAATTAAGAAAAAAACAATTGCGTAATATTTAAAATAACAATAATATATATTCTTATTCTTTTTAATGCATTTAATCTAAATTCTTATAAATATGATGTAATTAAATTTACAAACAAAAATAATTTTCTTATTTTAAATATATTATATTGTATATAATTTTAATGTCTAATAGTTCGAATGTAATTGGAATACAGTATAATTGTTTTCAAAAAAGAGCTGAAACTAAAGAAATAGATTTATCTTTCAACTTTGTGACTAATAATAATAGTTTTGATAATGATTAAATACCTAGAACTTACTTTTCAAGAATTATGTCTAGAAGGAAATATACAAAAAGAATTGATACTCAAGAATCCTCAATGAATATAAGAAAGCAAATAAGATTTCCTACTTTACAATCAAAATAAACAATATAGAAAACAGAAATTGGTAAAAGTATAGGATTCTAAATTTAACCAGTTCAAATACAATTGAAAATCTGTAATGCAAAGCCTCCTGAATCTTTTACTATAGAAGAACTTTAAGATCAAAGAAGAGCTTATTGTTTGAAACAATATCGAAAATATCAATAATAAAGATTATTTCAATAAATGATTTTAAAAAATTTAAGTATAAAAGAAACCATTTAAACATGGGTTTAATCCTAAAAAAAATGAGTGATATCTAACAAAATTAAGATACTTAAATTGCAAACTCAGTCAGCTTCTCATTTAAATATTAATTAAAATATTAATAATATATATATGTAGTTGCATATGTATTCATAGTAACAAAAATATATACTTTTTACAATATCAAACAAATGTCCTCACTTTAATTATATAATAAATATATTTTTAATTAATGCATATGTTTAGAAATAATCATAAATTATTTTTTTGTTTTGTATAACCATTTTCTCAAAAAAGATACTATTAAATTTTTGTACACAAATGAGTCTGCAAACAATATATATTAATAAAAAGTGAATTCTTGTGATTTCATATCCAATTATTAGTTTAAAAATAAGGAATTTCAAATTAAAATTATCTATCAAATTGAGAATTTTACATTATTTTTAAGACTTTAAATAATAACTAATTGTTTTCTTAATGTTAATATTACTTTTTTTGATTTTTAAAAGTTTATTTAATCTAGTTATGGGTTTTTTCACAAACTAGAAAGATCTACATGAATCTGTTAGAGTTATTTGTTATAAGAAATCAATTAAGATGTTTTCTTTCATCTGAAATGGATTAAATTTACATATAGTTTTTTTAATACATGATTATCCATAATTATCATAAATTAGTAAATCATTTAAAATAGATTTTATAACTACTTTAATATATATTGTTGTTTAAGTAAACTGATTTAAGAATCAAATTATGTAAATTAATAATTTTGAGATTTAAAGTACTTATTGTATAGTGATAATGGGATTCCCTTCATATAAGGAATCTTTATTATATAATAAAAAATAAAAATCTCTAGATTATCAAATTTTTTGATTCATAAAAAATCTATTATGTTGACAAATTAGACAATCCTTTTTTATATAATATTATTATAATTTAGTTAATAAAACACTAATGATACAAATATTTGTGATACCTACACAAGCAAATATAGTTAGCTAATGAAAAAACAAATTATTACTGTTAATAATTTATGGACTAATAAAAAAGCGAATTATAGGATACTGTCCTTTTTAGAAAATTTCAAGAATATCTAGAGAACTAAAATGAACTTTAGATATATCATAATACTCATACTGATAAATTTTATAAAGCTATGCCTTGTACTTTAAAACCAAGAAAAATATAGAACAATCCAATTATAATGGCATAAATGCTAGTAAGAAATAGTCAAATTCAATTAGTCTAAAAAAATAGTTTATAAAGAATAAATTTAGTCAGTATAAATAAATTGTGAAGAATACTATAGAACAAGAGCATGTAGAAGATTTTCATCTTCAACTAGAAATGATGAACGATAACAATAAATAAGATCTTAATTAGTTTCAAGAAGGGAAAAATAAAGATGTCATAGCATTAATTCAGAGATTTTAAAAGAAGTGAATATATAAATGAATCATAATATTTTGGATTTACCAAAAAAAATAAGAACACCAAAAAGTACAAGGGCAGAGCTATATTTTAGTTATAATTTAAGGGATAGTCTAAGAACACCAAGATGTGGAATTACTATTCCTTAATATTTAGCTGGTAAGATTAAATAAATAAAATGATGCCAATTACTTTGATCTCAAAATAATTTATATATATCATCATATATCTTAATTTTTATACATAAAAACTTATTAACACAATCATTTTAACAATTGATTTCTTATTTAAGGATCTAAAAACTATATGCTAGTCATTATTTGAGTAATCTTTTCAGGAAATCGCTATTTTGTTTATTCTAATACAAATTTCCATGTATCTATATTTGGATGATATTCTGTTAATTTTTTTAATTAAACAAAATCTAAATTTCTTAATTTATGGTATTTTAGAGGGCAAAATTATTTCTATTTTTCTAACCAATTTAAAAGTTATTATTATTCTTCATTATTTAATAGAGGATAATATTCATCAAGAAAAATAACAAATAAATCAGTTTATCCTATAAGATTCTATTTGGCAATATCAAATGAGAATTCTTTTTTGTATAAATGTACTAATAATAGTAATATTTCAAGTAATTCTTTTTTATTTTTTTATTTTTAAATTTCCTATAAATTTATTTATTCAATTTGTAAATATCCTTTCTCAACAAGTTAAATCTTGAATTTTATAGATTTGTTTTTGATTTCTTCTAATAAATTTTATTTTAAATTAGATTATGATAAAGCTAATAACCAAAAACTATCTAAACTATTTGCTTTTTCTCTAAACAATTATAATAATTCATTTTTGTAATCAATATTTAAATCTTTCAATTTTTCAAACACTTAAGGATCATCTTTATTTTCCCATATAAATTGACTTATTTTTTCTGAATTATCCAATTATTATGTTTATTATACTTCTTCTGCCAATTCATTTTAATTATGTCTAAGTAAAATATTTTTAAATAATTTTCTTAACTCATAATTATCACAATTTTCATATGCTAATTATATAATTTATTTTATTCCATCAAGTTTTTTTGATT